AAATAGCAAAATGGCGGAAGTCCCTTCTTATCAGAAGTTACATAGTATGTAAACGTATTAAACCCTCCAGTCAAAACACAGGATTTTGCACAATGTATAACAACAACAACAATAAAACTATGATCCAACTATACACTGTCTATAAGAGACTCGCTTTAGATTCAAAGACACAAATACATTGAAAGCAAAAGGATAGCAAATGATACTCCATGCAAATAATGACCAAGAGAGAATAGAGGTGGCTATACCAGTATGAGAAAAATAGATTTTCAGCCAAACAAGATTACAAAGGTAAGACATTATACATTAATAAAAAGTTCAGTGCAGTAAGTGGATATAAAAATTCTGCATACTTACCTACCTAATAACAGACCCTCAAAATACATGAAGCAAAAGTTGATAGAATTAAAAGGTGATATCGACAGTTCTACAGCAATAGTTGGAGGCTTCAATACCCCACCCTCAACAATGGATAGAGCAACCAGACAGAAGTAAGGAAACAGAGGACTTGAAGAACACAATAAACTAACCAGAACTAACAGACCTATACAGAACACCCTGCTTGACAACAAAGTACCCCTGGGACCTGGGACATTCTCCAGGATAGACCATATGTTACACAACAAATTAAGTCTCAATAGATTTATTTAAAAGATCTGTGTATCTTCTCTCGCAGTGGGATGAAGTTAGACCAATAACAGAAGGAAAATGGACAGTTCACATATTTGTGGAAATTAAACAACACGCTCCTGAACAACCAGTGGACCAAAGAAGAAATCACAGTGGAAATTAGAAAATACTTACAAACACAGGCATCTGGGTGGCTTAGTCGGTTGAGCGTCCGACTCTTGATTTCAGCTGAGCTCATGATCTCATGGCTCATGGGATTGAGGCCTGTGTTGGGCTCTGTGCTGGCAGCATGGATCCTGCTTGGGATTTTCTCTCTCCCTCTCTCAAAAGAAATAAACATTAAAAAATATTTATAAACAAATAAAAACAAAATACAGCATACCAAAACTTGTGGGATACAGCAAAAGAAGTGCTACGAGGGAAATTTATAGCTACAATATGTATATTGAAAAGGAAAAAGATTGTCAGGAAACAATGTAGTTTTACAACTTAAGAGTCTAGAAAAAGAACAAACTAAACCCAAGGTAGCAGATGGAAAGAAATAATAAAGAACAGAGTTAAATATAGAAAATCAATAAAACAAAAAAATTGGTTCTTCAAAAAGTTTACCAAAACTGAAAACTTTTAGCTAGCTCGATTGAGAAAACAAATGGGCTCAGATTGCTAAAATCAGAAACAAAAGTGGGGCATTACTGCTGATTCTGTGGAAATGAGGATTATGTGAGACTGTTATGAACTATAGTGCCCCAACAAACTGGACCGCCTAGCTAAAATGGACAGCTTCTTAGAAACAGAATAACTTCAGGACAGAATCATTAAGAAATAAAATTCCTTAATAGAATAGTAAGGGGATTGAATCAGTAATCAAAAGCTCCCAACAAAGAACAGCCCTGGACATGATACCTTCACAGGTGAATTCTACCATACATTTAAAGAAAAACAATTCTCAAACATTTCCCCCCAAAAGGAAAGAAGGAACACTACCTAGCTAATTCTGTGAGCATCACTGTGGTACCAAAGCCAGAAAAAGACAATAAGGGAAACTACAGGCCAATAATCCCTTATGAATACTGGTGCAAAAATTCTCAACATAATTCTAGCAAACCAAATTCAGCATATTAAAAGAATTATATGCTTTTCTATGTTAGTAAAAGAATTCTATGTTGCTGTATAGAATTAGACACCATATTAAAAGAATTCCACTGACCAAGTGGGATTTAGTCCTAGAATGCTAGGATGCTTCAACATATAAACATCAGCAAATATACCACATTAACAGATGAAAGGCAAAAACCTCAAGATCATCTCAACTGATGCAGAAAGTATTTGACAAAATCCAGCACTCTTTTATGATTAAAATACTCAATAAACTAGGAATAGAAGGAAACTACCTGAACATAATAAAGGTCATATGTGGAAAACTCACAGCTAACATACTCCATGGTGGAAGACTAAAAGCTTTTTCTGTAAGATTAAATATGACAAATAAGCTCACTTCTGCCACTTCTGTTGAACACAGTATTGGAAGTTCTAGCCAGAGTAAGTAGGCAAGAAAAGTTGAAAGAAAGAAAGGAAGGAAGGAAGGGAGGGAGGGAGGGAGGGAGGGAGGGAGGGAGGAAGGAAGAAATCTAAATCAGAAAGGAAGAAGTAAAATTATCTGTTTGCAAATGACACACAAAAACCTGTTAGAACTAATACACAAATTCAACAAAATAGCAGGAAACAAAATTAACACACAAAAATCAGCTGCATTTCTACAACACTAACAATGAACAATCTGAAAAGGGAGTTAAGAAAAACTTAATAGCATCAAAAAGAATAAAATACTTAAAAATTAGCTTAAGCAAGGAGGTGAAAGATTTGTACATTGAAAGGTACAAAACCTTGCTGAAATAATTAAAGAAATGGAAAGACACCAAGTTAATGAATGGAAATTTTAATATTGCTAAGATGACAATAGGACCCAAGTTGATTCAGTGCAATCGCTACCAAAATCCCAATGACTTTTTTTTCCCCCAGAAATAGAAACGTTCATCTTAAAATTCATATGAAATTTCAAGGGACTCTGAATAGCCAAAACAGTCTTGAAAAGGAACAAACATGCAGGGCTTACACTTCTTGATTTCAAAGTTTACTACAAAGCTACAGTCATCCAAGCTGTGTGGTACTGGGATAAAAACAGAATTATGGACTGATGGAATAGAACAGAGAGCCCAGAAATAAACCTTATGTATATGGTCAAATGATTTTGGACAAGAGTACCAAGACCATTCAATGTGGAAAGGACAATCTTATTTAATAAATATTGCTGGGGATACCTACATGCAAAAGAATATAGTTGGACCATTACCTCACTCCATATACAAAGATGAACTCAAAATGGAGCAAAGACCTAAAAGATAAGAACTGAAACTATGAAACTCTTTGGAAAAAAACAAGGGAAAACCTTCATGAAACTGGATTTAGTGATGATTTCTTGGACATTACACAAAAAATCCGGGCAACAAAAGAAATAAAACAGAAAGTTGATCATCAAAATTTAAAATTTCTGTGCAAATATATTTGCAAATCACTTATAAGTGATTAATATTCAGAATATATAAAGAACTGTAACCCAACATGAAAATACAAACACCCCAATTCAACCACGGACCAAGAACTTGAAGATATTTTGCAAAGAAGTTATACAAATGGCATATAAGCACATGCAAAGATGCTTATCATCACCAGACGTTAGGGAGATGCAAATTAAGTCCACAATGAGGTACCACTTTGCACCCATTAGATGGCTGTCATCAAAAAAAAGCAGCAAGTGTTGGTGAGGATGTGGAGAAATTAAAACACGTCTGCATTGCTGGGTAGGGATGTAAAGTGATGTAGTTGCTGTGGAAAACTGGTTCCTGAAAAAAGTGAACATGACATTACCATTTGCTCTTGTAATTTCACTTCTGGGTATATACCCCGGGGAATTGAAAGCAGGTCATTAGATACCAATTTGCAAGGTAGTATTATTGATAGTGGTTAAAAAGTGAATACAAACCAAATGTCCATCAGTAGATGAACAGTATTTACATAAAATTGAGTATTTTTTTAGTCTTGAAAAGGGAGGAAATTCTGAGTTTGTGCTTCCGCATGAATGAACCTTGAAATTAGCCAGACACAAAAGGACAAATATTGTGTGATTCCACTTATTTGAGTATGGAGAATAACCACATACATAGAGATAGGAACTAAATGGTGGTTACCAGGGTTTGAGAGGAGGAGGGAGTTATTCTTTCATGGTGACAGTTTCGGCATGGGATGATGAACAAGTTCTAGAGACGGAGAGTGGTGATGGTTGTACACTTAATGCTACTGAAATGTACATTTAACATGGTAGCTATAGTAAAATATTTGTTATGTATATTTTACAGTAAAAATGAAAAATTCTACAGACTGCTACACTCCACCTATTCTGTATTCTACCTTTTATTCCTCCCGGGTTGTCTTCCCTGTCCACGTTGTGGCTTCCTTCCTTCCTTTGCTCACAGTGTCTTCTTCTCTGCTCCCCATATGCTTCATCTGGAATACCTAGAACTTCCCTCTCCTCTTGACTCCTACCCATCCTTTAAGATAAGTTCCTGGGGCTGCCTCAGGATACCTTTCCTGATATCTGTGTCCTCCATTTTTAAATAGTGTTAAGGAGATGAGTAAAACTGGGCAGGGGAATGAGAACAAATGTAGAGATGAATTTGTAGGTCGAGTGGCCAAGAAGGTCCACCCGGAGCATACACAGTGTGGGGCTGTAAATTTAATGTAGTATTGTCTACATTTCACTTGTTGACCTCAGAAGTGAACCCCAAACCCAGGTAGTACGTTCAACCCCATGCACTTCACCAGTACCCACTTGTGCCTCTCAGATCCAAGGAAGCCAAGAGACCATGGGATTTAGGGAAAGGACTGAGTTACCGTTTAGCCTGTGCCACTATTGAATTGTATAAACTTTAGTCATTCAGATGCGTCAATACTAACGTGATTGGTAATATTATTTAATCATTTAAATTCTGAAAAAGTCTGTTATGCTTTACTTTCATTTAATTTTTATATGTTATTTCCTCTTCTTTCTGCCTCGATTTAAAGCTCTTAAAAGTTAGGGACCCTTTTTGCACATATTCTCCAAACAGCCCACCCAAGATCTTGAACGTAGTAGACTCTCAAGTGTTGTTGGCTGGATAGCAACAGAGGTTTAACACGTGGCATCAGGGTCACAATCAAAGGCAGAATCTTAATAGCTCACCTGCCTCCCACAGGGCAACCCTCTGCCTTCCCCTCACCCTGAGTCATGGGCAAGGCTGGCTCCTCAGTGAGCAGGACTGTGTTTTCTGTTACAGGCACACATGGCATTCAGAGATGTGGCTGTGGATTTCAGCCAGGAGGAGTGGATGCTGCTGAGCCCTGCTCAGAGATCCCTGTACAGGGAGGTGATGCTGGAAAACTACAGCAACCTGGTCTCACTGGGTAAGCCCTGGAATCTCTGAGGACTCACCTTCTTGCTGCTGGGCATTTTAGGCTATGCTTGAAGTAGCCATCTCGCTTTCTGAGTTGGCCCTTGAACCCATTAACCTACAGCCACCTTGTTTTCTTGTGAACAGGAATTCCGGTTACTAAACCAAAACTTATCACGCAGCTGGAGCAAGGGAAGGAAACCTGGAGAGAGGAGAGAAAATGCTCACCAGCCACCTGTCCAGGTGAGTGGGGAAGACTAGGCAAATGGAGCACAGGGCTTCAGGTGGCTCAGGGGGTGGGAGAAAGGAGGCATCACTCAGGTGCTGGAGAGGGCAGCCGTTCTCCTGACTCCTGAACGTTGTTTGCATTGCCGGGCGAGGCCTCCCTTCCAGACCTTCATCCTCACCCGAGTGCAGGGCTGTGTCTTCCTCCTCTTGTAAGGACACATTGGATCAGGCCTCTACCCTTGTGACCCCCTTTAACCTTAATTACCTCTTTAAAGGCCCCATTTCCAGGGCACTTGGGTGGCACAGTCGGTTAAGCGTCCAACTCTTGATCTCAGCTCAGGTCATGACCTCACAATTTGTGAGTTCGAGCCCCACGTCGGGCTCTGTGCTGACGGTGTGGAGCCTGCTTGGGATTCTGTCTCTCCTCTCTGCCCCTCCCCCACTTGTGCGCTCTCACGCGCATTCTCTCTTTCTCTCAAAATAAATAAATAAACTTTAAAAAATTTTTTAGAAAAAGCTAAGTAACAAGCCCCATTTCCAAATACAGTAACATTCTATATAGGATAGAATACTGGAATATAAATGTATATACAGTTGGTTTTTAAAGTTCGGTTCATTGATCAAGGAAAATTGTGTTCAGGTTGGTCTAGTACAATCAATACCTGGTTTCTCAAATTGTTTGGTTATTTGTTGCATTCAGATGACTAGAACCAGCTTTGATGAAACAATTACAGTCAATGTTAACATCTTCTATACGTGAGGTGCTAGAAGAAGAAATCTATATTGATGTCTGGGAAAATTTTAATTTAGATTAATTTTGAAAATTAACAGGGCTTCAACTGGTCAGGGGCACCAGGAGGGAACATCTTTAAGTCAGTGGGGGACTAGACTGTGTTCGTGTTGTCCATTGCTGAAAACCTTGTAGAAATTCTGGCACAAAGTCATCCTCTAATACATTTTTGTTAGTGAGTGGGGGACCTCCAGGCATCTCACACACAATTCTTGAACCGTTTGTATGCTGCTTCCTATACTAGGGGCTCTCCAACCTGAATGACCACTCTCTCCATCTGTCCCTTTGTCCTCATGGGGAAATAGGGAAAGACATGACATTTACATATGGGTCCTCTGGTTAGATCTCTCTCAGAGAAAATACTTGTGGACACAGTTTATGTCGTGTGGGTGGTTGTTAGAAGGTAATTGTAATAGCAGGGAAAGACTGTTACCTATTGGCCCCATTTAAAGAGCTGAGGGGTGCCTGGCTGGCTTGGTCAGAGGAACACATGACTCTTGATCTCAGGGTTGTGAGTTCAAGCCCCATGTTGGGTGTGGAGATTACCAAAAAAAATAAACTTAAAAAGAAAAAATGTTTTATTTATTTATGTTTTTTTTTTTAACCTTTATTCATTTTTTT